TTCAAAAATGTGTTCAGTTTTGGTGATGGAGTTTCACAAACATGTCTGGCACTGGCAGTCAACTTACTACAGGCTGCCTTCACAGATACAGACACAGACAAAGCAAGGTGAAATGACTTGGCCAAGTTATTTCAGCCAGACTCACACAGGCCTATGACTGGAAAGACATTTCAGGATTGCAAGGTGGGTGGCTTGCAATGGGCACAGGTAATGAGCTCCAAACAGCTGCTTTACATCATGATTCTCGCTTGGATCTTACAAGGGGGAGCAAACTGGTCTCATTGATCTCATCTTCTAGGTCAGGAAACAGAAGCCCACAGAGGCTGAATTTAAAGAGAATGCAGAGTGAAAAGCAGAGGAGTTGGTCACCAGGCTCCAAATCTCCTGTTCTTGATGGCCATTTGATGCCTGACTCAGTCAGTGGCCTTGGCCAACAATTCGGAGCCATCCTTGACACCTTTCTTGCTCTCTTAACCCCTATCTGATTCTTCAGCAGATATTACCTATCCTGCTTTCACAATGGATTCCAAATGGAACATGCCCATCACCCAAACTCCACTATCTAGGTCTGAGGCTTGTTATTTCTCCCTGAACTGCTGTAATGCTCTCTCTCTCTCTCTCTCTCTCTCTCTCTCTCTCTCTCTCTCTCTCTCGTTTTTCAAGACAGGGTTTCTCTGTGTTATATATAGCTCTAGCTGTTCTGGAACTCACTTTGTAGACTAAGCTGGCCTCTAACTCACAGAGATTTGCCCACCTCTGCCTCCTGAGTGCTGGGATTAAAGGCATGCACTGCATGGCCACCACTGCCTGGCTTCTGTAATGGTTTCTTCTAGTGGCAAAAGGAGGTCCCTAAAGGACCAGTCCTCCCTGGAGTCATGTCTTCAAGTGGTTTTACCTCATTAAATTCTATGGCCCATGACTATCATAGGATGGAGTGCTGAGCTCTCTCACTACCTGTCAAGAAGACTTTGAACTTCTGGCAGTTGAAAGTTATTTGGATGAAGTCTGGATACTTTGCTAGAGATTCTAAGTGAAAAGACCATGTGAAGTTGTATGTGATGTCACACACTGTATAATCCCAGCACTTGGGAAGCTGAGATAGGAGAATTTAAAAAGTAGTCTGAGTTACTACATATTGAAAGTGAGAGAGAGGAGAGAGAGAGAGAGCGAGCGAGCTACACATGCGTGGTAGAGCTGACAATGTTCTAAACACTGTCTCGGCAATGGAACTAATCTGAATAGCAATTCTGTGAATTAGGTTTTATCAGTATTATTCTCAGTCTACAGATGAAGAAAGGGAGCCAGCAAATGTGAAATAATCCCCCTAAGTTTCTGTGTGTATTGACCACAAAGATGGTCTTCGACCTGTGCAGTCAGGATCCAGAACCCACTTCATGGCTGCCTTCTCCTTACACACGTATAACACAAGCATTTATTTATTATCCGTCTTCCCATTGGGTGCAAGATCCCAGAAGGTAGAGCCTTGTTGTCCCCTGCTCCCCAGGGCTTACATTCGAGAGCCGTGCCTGGCACATAGGTTTTCAGTAAAAACATGTTGAGTGAACTAAAGGGGTGTTTGCACTTTGAAAATGAACCTTTCAGGTTTTCTTGTGGTGCTATGCCCCCACCCCCATGAACTTGCTGAAAAAAAGAGTGTGCCAACTAGAGCGGTTTCATAATCACCCCTGAATCATTTGACGGTTTCTTGAGGACAGAGCCCATCACACCGACTCTCAAGCTTCTGTTATTCTGTAGAAGACAGAAGGTACTTGCTTACAGGGCCACTTAGTCTATGTGTCACGGTTTTGCTGAGGCAGCCACAGGGCCCAGGGTGTAGCTCAGCCCAACCAGCCTGAGCTATATGAGACCCTGCTTCAAGAAAACTGAAAATATGCATGGCAATGGTGGCGCACACCTTTAATCCTAGCACTCTGGAGGCAGGAGCAGATGGATCTCTGAGTTTGAGGCCAGCCTGGTCTACAGAGTGAGTTCCAGGACAACCAGGGATATACAGAGAAGCCCTGTCTCGAAAAACCAAAATGAAAGAAAACTGAAAATAAAAATATAAAATAAAATAAAGTAGATAAAAAATTTGTTCTTCTGCTACTTCTGGGCCAGTTTTCTCTTCTACAGAGGCATTGGTAGACTGCTTGCCTAGTGTACACACAGCTCTGAGTTCCACCCCCAGCACTGCCTAAAACTGTACATGGTAGTGCCTGCTTGCAATCTGGGGAAACAGAGGCCCAAGGAGTCCAAGGCTATCCTTAATTACATAGAGCGTTTGAGGGCCAGCCTGGACTATATGAGACCCTGTTACGACATCAACAACACAAACGGCCACAAGGCTATATGGGAGAGTAATGGTTTTAAAGCTCATTTTTAGCCGGGCGGTGGTGGCGCACGCCTTTAATCCCAGCACTCGGGAGGCAGAGGCAGGCGGATCTCTGTGAGTTCGAGGCTGGGCTGGACCGATAGCCTCCAAAACAATACAGAGAAACTCTGTCTCGAAAAACCAAAAAAAAAAAAAAAAGCTCATTTTTAATTCTAAACACTGCCCATCAACAGGATCATTTTCCTTGATCATCGTGTGCAGTGTTCTAGAACACGCCTTGGTTCCCCTCCTCCTCCTTCTCTTACAAAGCTTTCCTAACGTAAAGCACACCTTCCTCCAGCTTTCGAGGGAGTCAGTCTTGTGTGTACTTGGCACCAAGAAATCACTCTGGAAACTGAGGCTGACTCACTTAGTATTTAACTAACGGCTCATTTTAGAAGTGGCTCCGAGGAGGAGCTCAGGTCCACGATTGGTTGGCAGCTGCAACTCAACATCCTCTCCCCTCCAGTTTCAGATATACTTTGGAGAGTCCTTCTAGATACCCCTTCCATCAGATTGTCATCAAAATGCAGGTCAGATGTAAAAGAGACTAGTGTCTATTGAAGAGCAGCATCAATGCGTTAAGAGGTACCCTGGTGGCCCTAAAGACTTAATGCAGCCTTTCAAAATGGCTAATTTATACACTGGGCCACTCTGACTCCCCCTGGCACGCTGGCTCACATTATACAGAGCGGTGGATGGAACACACGTCTACGGGGTGCTGCCTGGGCTTGGTGGTGACCTTACAGTCACTGATAAAGACTGCATCTCATTATTCACTAGTGGCAGCGTTAGTCTTTTATCTTCTCCTCAGGACTCAGGAGGGCAAGAGTCACATCCACCGAGCCTGCTCTGTTATGACAAGGAAGCTCAGACAGCCAATCACCTCAAAGGTGATTCACTCATTTGCATCCAGACAGTCTGTTGGTTCAAAAGCAATGGAAGTGCCACCCCACTCACACCCTCGTCTATAAAAAGTTACTTACTCTGCTGAAATCTATGCCTTTATTCATCTTGAAGAACTGCTGTAGGAAAATGCCATTTGGTCGTGGGAAGTAGGCTTTTGTTGAAGAGCTACAGTTTATGAACAATACTTGTGCAAGTCTTAGGTGTCTGCCAATGCTTTCAAGTTCAGAGTCCTTTATGGATAAAACTGACTATGGTATGGATCTTGGTTCCCTCTGTCCTTCCCTGTCTCTCTCCATCCTTTCTTTGATAAGGTGTCATGTGGACCAATCTTGAACTTACTATGTAACCAAGGATGAATTTCAACTTCTGATTCTCCTTCCCCTACCTCCTGAATGCTGGGACCGCAGGTGTGTGTCACCATGCCTCGTGTGTGTGTGTGTGTGTGTGTGTGTGTGTGTGTGTGTGTGTGTTCAGAATTAAACCCAGGGACTCGTGGATGATAGGCAACTATTTTATGAGCTGAGCTGCATCCTCAGCTCCATTGTGTGTGTGTGAGGGTGAGTGCACATGTGGGTGGGTGTTCCAGTGCTCTTTCACATGCGTGTGTATGAAAGCCAAAAGCAGGCATCAGGTGTCTTCCTCAACCACTCTCCACTCTATATGTTTTTTTGTGTGTGTGTGTCTGAGACATGGTTTCTCTGTGTAGCTCTGGATATCCTGGAACTTGCTTTGTAGACCAGGCTGGCCTCAAAGTCAGAGATCCCCCTGCCTCTGCCTCCCGAGTACTGGGATTAAAGTTGTGCACTACCACCGACCAGCTACCTCTCCACTTTATTGATTTATTGAGACGGACTCACTATGTATCCCTAACTGACCTGGAACTTGCTACGTAGACCAGACTAGCATTGAACCCACTGAGATCCACCTACTTCTGCCTCCTGAGTGCTAGCATTTAAGGCATGCACCATATGCCAGGCTTTACCTTGCATTTTGAGACAGTGTCGCACTGAACTGGGGGCTTGCCAGTTTGACTAGACTGGCTGGCTAGGGAGCATCAGGAATCCCCGCCTCCACCTCACCAGTGCTGGGACTATACTGTGCATCCCTGTGCTCTTTTGTGGGATGGAGTGCTGGGATGCAGCTCAAGTCCTGATGCATGCATGGCAAGCACTTCTCTGACTGAGTCACCTCCCCAGCCTGGCATCTTGGTTTTAAAGCCCTGCAAGGGTTTGCAAAGTACAGAATGGGGACATATGACAGACAAAGGTCCTGGCGTAGCAGAGAGGTGAGGAAGTGAAGTAACATTAAGGTAGCATCAGTCACAAAAAGCTGTCTGGATTCCCTTGGCTTTCTCTGCTGCTACCACAGATAAAGGGCGGTTCATGTCTGTCTTCTGCTCTGTTCTCTGAGCCCTGACTAGGGCCACAGAGGTGAGAATCCCAGGGACACAGAGTAGAACCCAGAAGATCTGAAGTCTTCCGAAGGAAGGAGAATGCAGCATGGGGTAGGAGGATTGGGGACAGGCTGTGGCTACCTGCTGGGGCATAAGTCAGGAAGGGGATCTGGTGTCTCTCTCCAGAGCTGGGTCCAGCTGGCTCTGGATACTTGTTTATGACAACAGCTACAACAGGTAACAATAGTCCTGTGGTGAAACCCCCACCCTTTGGTGTGCCAAGGGGTTAAAAAAATTTAAGGTGTCTTATGACGAGTGTTTATCTGGACTGGGTAGATCGCTTGTGCAGCAGACTGGACTGTGGCATTTTCTGTGTTGTCTCTTCTGCTTGGGAAAGCTGTAGGAAGACAACCAGAGGGACCTGAAGGATCCTAGTGACCAGGGTTTCCCAGATTTTCATCTTCCACACGGCATTCAGGTGAGTGCGCTGCCCCAAGAGCCTTGGTCACTGGCCAGACTCCTTTGTTTTTTGTTTTTTTTGGTTTTACGAGACAGGGTTTCTCTGTATTGTTTTAGAGGCTATCTGTCCAACCCGGCCTCGAACTCACAGAGATCTGTCTTCCTCCCAAGTGCTGGGATTAAAGGCTTATGCCACCACTGCCCGGCTCCTTTGTTTAATAAGGTCTTTACAGAAGCAGTAACGACACCTTTGCTTTTTTAAATAAAAAAATTATGTGTATAGGTGTATATATGTATAACTGAGGTGTGTGTGCATGTGTATGTGTGTGTGTGTGTGCGCGCGTGCATGTTTGCATATATGTGTGTGTATAGGTGTGTATATGTATGACTGAGGTATGTGTGTGTGCATGTTTGCATATGTTTGTGTGTATATATGTGAGTATATGTATGACTGAGGTGTGTGTGTGTGCATGTGCATGTTTGCATATGTTTGTGTGTATATATGTGAGTATATGTATGACTGAGGTATGTGTGTGTGCATGTTTGCATATGTTTGTGTGTATATATGTGAGTATATGTATGACTGAGGTGTGTGTGTTATGTGTGTGTGCACATGTTTATATATGTGTGTATATAGGTGTGTATATGTATGACTGAGGTGTGTGTGTGTGTGTGTGTGTGAGTGTGTGTAGGTCAAAGGACAGCTTGTAGAATCGGTTCTTTCCTTCCGTCTTTACAGGGTCTGGACTTTAGCCCAGGTCTGTGGTTGTGCGGTAAGTATCTGCTGAGACAGCGTCTCACCAGGCCTACACCTTTGCTTTAATTCTTTGTTTTAATTAGCCTTTCTTCCCTCCTCCTCTCCCTCTCCCCCACCCACCCTTCTTTTCCTCCTTCTTCCCTCCTTCTTTTCCCTTATCCTTTCCTCTCCTTGTCCCACTTTAGGACTGTGGCTTGTCAATTAGCCATGCCAGTTTTATTTTTTTCTCATCTTGCCCATAATTAAGTACAGTGGGGGGTAACATTTGGTTTTATTTCTTATTATTTTAATTACATTGATTTTGGCTTAAATAGAATCCACTAAAGTACTGAGGAGATTTGATTTCCTGGCTTGCTGGGGGTGGGGTTCCCTACCTTGGAAGAAGACACAGCCAAGATATAGCCCAGCTCTGAGCTTCTACATTTCTGAGCTAGTCTTGGCCAGGATGAAGGACATGGAGCCCAGTGGAGACTCCAGCTGCTGCAGACAGAGCCCTGCATCCTCAGCAGGACTGGTGATTTTCTCTAAGGGCAGCCATAAAGCAGAAGTAAGGGATGTCAGCTGGGAAGTGTCCCTGTGTCTAAACCAGTGTGGTACCTGCTGCTTTGCCATGCCAGCATGACAGCTAAAGGTACTACCCTTTCCCCTCCCCTACTTAGCCTTAGATCCGGGTCTGGTGTGACTCTCCTGTCTGTGATAATTCCAATTTGACTAGTGATTTGGTGATACCTGCTTGTATGACTGACTCACCCTTTGAGCTCTGGGATCCATTTCTGTAGAAGGGGCTGAGGAGGGTGCTTGTAGTAATGGATACTGAGTGTGGAGTTAGGTAGTCACCACTGTTTATTCCCTCTTCATAAAGGTGACTATCCAAGAGAAGGCAGATATTTGAGAGGATTTCTCAGTGAGTGTGTTGGCTTATATCTATAATCCTAGCACTTGGGAGGCTGAAACAGGTGTGAGACCTTGTCTAAAATAAAAAGGTGGGAGCTGTGGAGATGGCTTACTTAATAAAGTGTCTGCCTTGCAACCATGAGGACCTGAATTTGATCCCCAGAACACATAATACAAACTATCTTGGTGCAAGCTTACAATTTCAGCACTGGGAGGCAGAGCCTGGAGGATCCCTGAGTTTGCTGGCCAGCCAGCTAGCCTACAAGTTCCAGGTTAGTGAGAAGAAATCCTGTCTCTCTCTACACACACACACACACACACTCACTCACACACACACACACAGATGGCACTTCCTAGCACATACACTCACACTCACATTCAGGCATCCCAGTTTGACCCACATCTGCTGCACCCATTCTTTTCTCACAGTGCCTTTCATGGCTTACCACAATCATTTCCCACCTGCCTGGATCCTTCCCAACTCTTTACACTGCCTCTGCCACGCACCCTAACACATACACTCAGGTCAGTGTATCAGGATGTGGAATGAGGTAAGCTCCCGGAAAGGGACTGAGTGTGGTTCTCTTTTCTGTGCTCTTTGCGTCATTGGGCACAGTGCCAGGCATGCAGTAAGTGTTCAATAATTGATTTAGAAGCACAGGGCCATCACTGGTCCTTCCTGAGGACAGAGACAGCATTGTATAAGGCTTTTTTGGGTTCCTCCCCACAACCGTGCCCAGGTATGAAAATGTCTGTAAGCTGATGATGATGATCTGTGTTTCTCAGAGCTGGGCGTCAAGAGTGGTTAGTCAGTGACATAAACCGCACTGAGACAGGATGGGTAGTCAAGTTTTGAGGTATCTGGGTTGATAGGAGGCTCATTTCTCATAAATCTCTCTCTCTCTCTCTCTCTCTCTCTCTCTCTCTCTCTCTCTCTCTCCTCTCTCTCTCTTTCTCTGTGTGCGTGTGAATACATGTATCCATTTACATGTGTTTGTGTTTGTGCACCAGACATTGCCTGATGATCCCGATCTGGAATCAGATGACCTTTTGGCTTCTGGTTTTAAAAGAAGCCACTTGCTTCTTGACTCAGGAGCCCTTCAGAAATTTGTCACCTCTTGGTGATCCTATTGACAGGCCCTGACTTTTCTGATGGGTTTGATCCTGGGTTATAGTCCTTAAATAGACAACATTTTCAAGGGAACTGATTTTCACTGGACAGAAAGTCAATCAGCTGCAGCAGGAATATGAAATTGAACCTCTGGGGAGGAAAACAAGCTGGGTTTTCAGTGTTTGAGGCGAAGGTAGGTACTGCTCCTCTTTCTAGACTCACCTGAGATACTGCTTCCCCATCCCTTATACAAGATCAGGAAACCCAGCTGGACCTCCCAGACTGCCTCTGTCCACTCCTTTGTTCTGCCACAAGATCCTTTGTTTCTCTCCACGTGCTCTTGGGCTCTGTGGTGAAGAGCCCATAACTGGTGGCTATCACGCCTTGGTGCCTTCAAGTGTCCACTGAACTCAGCAAATGATAAATAGATTCAAGAACAGCAAAGGCCCAGCTCCTAATTCTGACTTTGAGCTAACACCATGCTCTTCTGGTGGCAGCATGCTTAGGTGGCCTTAAGCATACGGAATCAGTGGTTGAGGATCACATTGACTCCTGCTTTGCTGGTGTTGTGACATACAGCCTTGTTTCTCTTACACAAAGCCTGATTTCTTTTTGTCTTTTCTTTCTACCTGCCTTGATCTCATTTGAGACAGGATCTCACATAGCTCAGTCTATGTAGCTGAGGATAACCCTGACACTCCTCTTGCGCTGGGATAGTTGGTATGTGCCACCATGCTCGATTCACAAATTGCTGGGGTTTGAACCCACAGCCCCAGCCTTATGCATGCTAGGCAAACACTATCAGCTGAACCACGTCTCTAGCTCTGAAACCTGCTTTTTTTCTGCCTTCTGTTGCAGCATGAGGAAGAAATCCTTCTCTACCAAGCTTGTTGCGAGTTCCGGGGATGGCAATGTTTGTTGTCCTGGAGGGGCTCCCTGTGTGTGCAGGCTGCAAGCTTTCATTAATTCACTGAGTACTGTCTGCCAGGGAGCCAGACAAGCGGCGTTATTATGATCATCCATCACCGGCTGAGAAGAAACTGAGGCAGCTGTGGGGAGGAGGCTGCGGAGTGAGTGTGTCCAATGGGAGAGAAGGAGGAGGCTTCAGTGAAGGCAAAGGCAGGGACCTGGCTCCATCTGCCAGCCCTGAGGACCCAGCCTTGGGGTGAAGAGGTGAAGCTGTTACATTGTTGCCAGCCCTGCAGAAGTTGCATTTCAAACCAGACACCCCACTCTGCCACAGTCCTTTTCTGTTCAAGCCCCTAAACTGAATACATTTTGATTCAATTTGAATGTTCTGGATTAGTGGAAGGGAACGAGGTTTAGAAGAGGTCAGCTCCATTACTCAGGGTTATTAATGATGTTGTCGGCCTGTTAAAATCTCAAAAAACTAGGAAAATAATAAATTTTACATATTGAAAAAGCACGGATGGATCAGGCAAATGGATAAATTCTTAAAAGTATTTAATATCTGTTAAGAGGACAGAATGATAAATTCAATATTGAAAACCAATATCAGATTCACAATTACAGGCCATTTATCATAACCAGCCACACGGACAACAGCCTATTGCGGGAGCTGGGCATGATTCTCAAGCAGAGACCCGGAACAGGTCCCCACGAAAGGAGAAATAAATCTGCTTTACATATTGGAAACTTTATTTCTACTTCCTATCTTTATTGCCAACAATAATGTTAGCTTTCAAGAACAAATTGTTACATATTAAACCCATGCATAATGAACCCAATTGAGTCAAAAACTTCCCTAAAAAGAGCTTTAAATTATTCCAAATTGGGTTATTAGCTTTAACTCTAATTCCTTGGAGAGGGCCGGGCCATCTGATATACATTTCAGTTTCTAACCAGACATCAGGTCTCCCAAGTTCTGGAATGTTCTTGTCTTCTCCTTCTCTGCCATATTCCCTGAAGAATTAACCATGGTGGGCTAAGGAGCAACCGTGATGGTACTTAACAAATGTGATAGTTGGGTGGTGTTGGTGTATGCCTTTAATCCCAGCACTTGGGAGGCAGAGGCAGCCTGATCTCTGTGAGTTTGAGGCCAGTGTGGTCTACAGAGCTAGTTCCAGGGCAGCTAGAGCTGTTATACAGAGAAACCCTGTCTCGAAAAACCAAACCCAATACATCAACCAACCAACCAACCAAACCAAATGTGCTAACACATCTGGAGAACAGAGGCTGTGCACACTTGGATGTGGGTGAGGTTCAGAGACCAGAGGATGAGCTTGGAAGTCCCTCCCTGTCACTCCCTGCCTCAGTCCCTGGAGACAGGCTTTCCCCCTGAGCTTGTAGCTGGCTCGTGACTTCCTGGGACTTGCTTGTCTCTGCTTTACAATACCAGGGTTACAGGCACACATGGTCATACCTGGCTTGAGAGAGATATTTTCAAGTTTAAGATTATTAATTAGTTGCCTTTAGTCTCAGCACCTGGGAGGCAGAGGCAGGTGGCTATCTGTGAATTTGAGGCCAACCTGGTATACAAAGGAAGTTCCAAAACAGCTAGGGCTACACAGTGAAATACTGTCTCAAAATCAAAAACAAGAACCAAAAAGGTCTGCTTTATTTGGGTCTATGAGTGATGGTGACTAAATGGAATGATTTGAGCATGGACCCTTGATTGTCATTGCTAGAGTGTCAGACAAGTTAACACGTTGATCTTCAGGCATCCTAGGGTCAAGTGGCAGGAAGGTGACTGGCTGATACATATGTCACTGCTCAGGCTGACCCAGCTGACATAACTTCACAGGATGGATTTAATCCACATATGTTTTTTTCTTTTTCTCTGAGCAACAACTCTGGCTATCCTGGAACTGGATTTGTAGACCAGGCTGGCCTCAGAGAACAAAGCAAAAAACAAAACAAAACAGAGATCTGACTGCCCTGCCTCCTGAGTGCAAAGACTAAAGGCATGTGCCACCATGCCCAGTGCACTCGTGTATTTAATTTTTAAACATTTATTTATTTAGTGGTGTGTGTGTGTGTGATGTGTGTATATGTGTGGTGTGTGTGTGATGTGTATGCAGTTGTCCATGTGGTGGTTGTAGTGTTGCAGTGTGTGTGTGTGGTGTGTGTGGTATATATGGTGTGTGTTGATGTGTATGTATTTGTGTATGGTGTATATATGGTGTGTGGTGTGCGTGATATGTGTGGTGTGTGTGTGTGCCACCGTGCATGTGTGGAGGTCAGAGGACAACTCACCCCGTTTCCACTGTGTAGATGGTTCTGTGGATTGAGCTCAGGTAATCAAGTTTGGTGATAAGCACTTTTGTCCCTGGCCCACAGGATTTTGTATTTTTTTCAAGAAAGAAATAGTCAAATATAGAAAATTTTGAGGGTGTACAAGGGAAACACCATCTTTAATTCCTTCATTACAGACACTATTGCCAATTACATTTTTATATATTTCTTTTCATTTTGGTTTTTTTTGTTGTATGTTTTTGTCAAAGTTGTGATTACACAAACAGTTTTCTATACAATGATCATCTTTAAGTATTTAAAATTTAAAATTTTATACATATGGGTGTTTTGCCTGCATGTATGCAGTGTCCTCGAAGGCCAGATGAGGGTGTTGGGTCGCTTGGAACTGGAGTTACAAACAGTTATGAGAGGCCCCGTAGGTGCTGGGAATTGAACCTAAGTCCTCTGCAAGAGCAGCCAGTGAGCCATCTTAACCACTGAGCCATCTCTCTAGCCCTATAATGATCATCTTAGCTTTCCCTGTCTCCCGCATGCTAGGATTACAGGCGTGTGCCACCATGTCTAGTATATGTGGTACTGGGGATGAAACCCAGGGTTTTGTGCATCCTAAGCAAGCATGCTACCAGCTGAGCCACACTACAGACCTATTACAGGTCATCTTAATGGTTACATTAAATGTCATCACTTTATAAGGAACCTTCCCCTAATGGGGATTATTTTGGCTGCTTTCACTGTTTCTTTGTTCTAAATCACATGGCAGCCATCATCCTGATATAGTCATCTCTGAGTAGATGGTTTGATAATTGTTAAAATAATCTCATATTATGTTAAAGGATGTGAACTATTGGCTATTTAAATCTATACTGTCCAAAAAAAGACTGATGTAACTCTTCAGGATTTTTAGTTATGTGTGTGCATGTGTATTGGTGCAGGTGAGCATAGGTGCTCAAGGAGGCCAGGAGAGGGCGTCAGAGCCCCTAGAGCTGAAATTACAGGCTGTTGTGGACCGCCTAACATGGATGCTGGAAGCTGAATCCAAGTTCTCTGCAAGCACAGTACAAAGTCTTAGCTGCTGAGCCATCCCTTCAACCTTTGATGTGAGCTTCTGGCCCATGAAGGTGCTCCCTGTTTGTAGAACCTGCAGCAACAGCACCTAGGTTAAATTCATGGACCTTGGGGTCAGGGTTGTCTGCATTCATGTCTGACGTAAACCCCTGGGGAGGCTTAACCATGCTGTGCCTCCACTGGCTCATCTGTAAAATGGGCATCATGATATCTCCCTCCTAGGGTTGTGAAGATAAAATGTGACATTGCATAGCAGATGCCTACCACACAGCCTGCCTAACTAGGGAAAACACTCCATAAAGGCAGGTGATATTAGCCTTTATCCACTTTGACAGAGTATTATAATGTATGTCCGTATGTATAATATATACATAAGGGCATCATAAATTTTAAAACCTTTAAGCTTTAATAACATTCTCCATTATCTCCTAGATAAAATCCTACCTTGTTATCATTCAATATCCTTCACTGTCAGAGCCCAGCTCACCTTTGCAGTCTTGCTGCTCCTTTCTCTGCAGTTACGATCTGCTCCAGCTGCACCCTGCCGCCCCGGATTCCCTCAGCTACCTCCACTCACCGTGTGTGAGGCACTTGCCTCTCTGTCTTGTCCCATCTTTGCACTGTTGGCCAAACTTGCGGATTCAAGCTCTTCCCAGGTATTATCCTTTGCCAACCCTTTCCTAATACCTCTGCAGGCAGAATGAGTGTGGTGGCCCTTGGTGCTCCCACAGTGCCATGTTTATGGATACCTAGCTTGTAGCATCTTTTAAGGCTATGTGTGACAATAGGTCAGCTGTGTTGTGGTCTCTCATACTGCCCTGGGAGCTCTTTGAAGGTCAAGACCATGTCTTATTAATCTTTGTTTTTCTTCAGTGCCGGCTGTTAAAGTGTGTTCAATGTAACGTTGGAAAAGGACGATCAGAGAAGTCCATAAATGGCATTTAAATGAAACTCAATTGAATTTCAACTGAATTTAAAGTTGATTGGACTTCAATTTTTTTATTTATCTTGGGATCTTAAATACAAATGCATTTGGTGCAATTGTGAAGGATTTTTCTAAGCCCTGAGATACTTAATGTTGTTTGCAGAGCACTTCTAGGCAAATTATTGAGATTTTAAAAATGCTCAGGGAATTTCAGATGACCCTGCATAAATATATCCAACATATCCCTCAGGAGACTATAGTACATATCTATTATGTACTTGAGGCAGAGAAACCAGTTAGCTGGGACCCTGCATTATCTGCCTAAACTTTAATAATTACAGTCAAAATTGAGTCTTTTTTGTGTATATATGTCTTTACGTGTGTGTGTGTGTGTGTGTGTGTGGTGGGTTTGCACACATGCGAACATGCATTTGAAGCCAAAGTATCTTTCTCAGTTGCTCTTTACCTTGTTTTTTTGAGACAGATCTCTCACTTTTTTTTTTTACGAGACAGGGTTTCTCTGTATTGTTTTGGAGGCTGTCGGTCCAGCCCAGCCTCGAACTCACAGAGATCCACCTGCCTCTGCCTCCCAAGTGCTGGGATTAAAGGCATGTGCCACCACCACCCGGCAGAATCTCTCACTTTTAACTAGAACTTTCTTTTTTTTTTAAAGATTTTATTTATTATGAATACAACATCCTGCCTCTACATATGTCTGCACGCCAGGAGAGGGCTTCAGATCTCATTATCTCATTACGGATGGTTGTGAGCCACCATGTGGTTGCTGGGAATTGAACTCAGGACCTCTGGAAGAGCAGTCAGTGCTCTTAACCGCTGAGCCATCTCTCCAGCCCTAACTAGAACTTTCTTATTTGGCTATGATGGCTGACGAGCGAGTCCCAGTGATCTGTTTGTGTCTGATTCCCTCGTCCTGGGATTACAAGTGTCCCTGTTTTTTTCTTCTCTCTCTGTCTCTCTGTCTCTGTCTCTGTCTCTGTCTCTGTCTCTCTCCCTCCCTCCCTCCCTCCCTCCCTCCCTCCCTCCCTCCTTTCCTTCCTTCCTTCCTTCCTTTTTAAATGTGGGTGCTGGGGATTGAACTCTGGCCCTTGAATTTGCATGGCAAGCATTTTACTAACTGAGCTGGTTTCCCCAGACCAAACTGAAGATTTCAATAGTGTTCATATGAGCTCTTCCCACCATGTAACTAGTCTAGTAAAAGA